AAGCAAGCCAGGAGTGGGGAGATGAAATATCAACAAAGCCTTCGCTCTTACTTCGTAATTGTACTACGGACTTACTTTGTTTTCGCTGCTTCATTTTTTTTTCAAGCTCGACTATCGACGCCACGGTTTTCTCTCGTTTTCTCCGATGACTGGGACGGTGCTTTGAAACTACGCCGACAAAGTGTACGGTCAAGTTTTCAGTGCCCGTGCATTTAAAAGTGATTGATGCCGTCGAGATGCCTTTTAGACAATACATACGTTCGAAGAAACTTGGTAATCGTTCGCAGTCGCCGCTTATATTCCCTTATTATTCCCGTATAATAATGTGTCCGTTGGGAGTGCGATTGTTAAGTGCGACTGTAAAGTGACTGAAAAGCTCGGCTAATCGACTATTCGCCGGTAGTGGCTAAATTCTTATGAAAGTTTCGTTAGAGGCTCATTTGAACGGGGTGAAGTGGCCAACGAATGATTTAACTGAAAATTTACGACTTGGTCGGATATTATTGAAACCGCGATAATTCTACGAAGAATTATCTAATAATTGGCCGAAATGAAGATGTGCATAAATAAAGCTCAGTTAGGACGGACATCTTTCGTATGTTTGCTAAAAAAATTTGAACTAAGGGATACCCCAATGAGTTTAGTAGTTTCGTGGTCACGCGCGGCCGTCGCTCGCCTCGGCATCCCCAACTTTTGCATTAAAACCCCGTCAAGCTCCGTTGCAACGGAGATTCGTAAAAGCTGCCGATGCGAGCGCGCATGCCAATCACGTAGCTGGAAACTTGGATAAACGACGGCGAGTCGCACCAGTTTGGGATGACACGCATTAAGCAGCGGTGGGCCGGTGCGCGACTTTCGACGGGTCTCTTGCGATGATGATCGATTCCGCGTCTTGCACAACTCCCCCAAAAAGCTGGCAACGCAAGGTGCGTCGAAGGAGGACAGAAATCAACAGACGGAGAAACGCAGCAGGTGCGCACACCTCGGGTCCCCTCTTCTTCTCAGCAAGCGGCGCCGCCGTTATAATTCATCCCCCTTTTTAATGCACCGTCCGCACTCCCCGCTACCTGGTCAATTTGTATTCGAGCGGGAGTGCGCGCCCCTCCGTGCAGAGGGAGGCAGAGACCGTTGATAACGCGAGCGTATTTTTAAAGCGGGCGGCTCGTTCTCCTCTCGTCGATGTGGGCACCCCGAAACGTCCAACCACCACCAACTAGCAGCACCAACCGGCACCAACCGGCACCAACCGGCACCAACCGGCACCAACCAGAATCAAGAAGCCGCGCCGTTACGTCAATTTATAATCGGGGATCGCGACTCCTTGCTGAGTTACTTCCCCGGGACGTACGCGGTTCCGTTGCCCCGCGCCACTCTCTTACCAACTTCTTTCATCCTTCTCTGCGTTCTGGATAGACTTGGTCGCTATTCACGGAATATCACCCCACCCACCCATTCATCCACGCGCCTTTTACACCATCAAAAACAGTGCGTTTTACGTTGCATTATAAAAAGGAGCGGCACATGGAGGGAGTGCAGGTGCAGTTCTGCCCGCAGTTTTCCACGACTCGGGGTGCGTTCGTGAAACGAATGAGCGATCGACGCTGTCGCGCATTACGATCTCATTATCGGCACGCCCTAATCCCCTAATCCCCATGCTGTGTATCCTAATCCTTGAGTGAGGGACTCGAGGGCGCAACGCGAATGAGCCGAAGCTGCGATGAATCGAACAGCCCGGCATGGCGACCATCGCGATGTAATTCACCGGCGGATCGGCCACTCGCCTCACGGGACCTGGAAACGGCCGAAAAGGCACGGGTACGTCGCGTTACAAGAAAGAAGCATATTTACGAGCCACAACACAACGGCTGGATACCCGAGCGAGCGTACAAGGACCCGCAGATGCATTCGCTCGCGAGCCCGCGACTGCCAGCCGCAACAAAGGCGCAGCCAGAGAGGAAAAAAACGTCGAACGGCCCCGGGAGGAACATCGGTCTCGAGCCGGGCACGCGTCGACGTTTAACGTAGGGCCCCCTCTCGCGACTCCTTGGCGATGGTGGGGACAAGGCGCGCGTGTTAACGCGGGCCCGGGACGCGCGGCTCATTAGGACGTTATCGAATGCAGGCATCGGAGGTTCGAGCGAAGGTACGTCTCTCGCGACGACATAACCCCGTGCGTGTGTGCGTGAGACAATGACAGAGACACATATATATATATATATATATATATATATATATATATATATAGAG